GTCAAACGAGCCTTCCAAAAAAGTATTGTAAAATAATATAAAAAAAAATTTTATCAATTGTGTAACAATTTTATGACACTAAACAAAGTTTAATTATTGTTACAACATCTATAAATGGTCATTATATGATAAATAGGTTCAAACTTATTCGAATCAGCTGAAAAATCATTCGGCCAATTTTTATCTGGTGTTCTGTAATATGTAATTTTTTGTGTTACACAAATCATTTCGATATAGCGAACTTGTGTTTCTATCTATCTTGTTTTACAATTTCGAATTTTTAACTTAATATTACTAGACATGAAGACCGATTCAAGTATAAAAAAAAAGGTTGACTCAAGTATAACGAATAGAAAAACATGTGAAATACGTAATTATTACTATCAGCAAACCCGTAGGTGAAACAGTATTCCTCGCCCTACGATGAATAAATTCTACCAAGATCTTCCAAGTACTTCGATTTCGACTTAGTTTCATTTATTTAGAGTGGGAAACAAAACTTAAGGCACTTTACTTATAAGCTTTGACCGATCACTTAAGGGCATGACAAAATGAGGAATTCTTTAATTCAAATTAGTTTATACTTTGTTTCTTTATCGTTAACAAAACAAGTCTTTTATTAATTTATAGGCAACAAGATCTTTATGAAGTCTCTGATTTGCATTAGTTCCACAATCACAATTCGTGAGGGTCGATTACTACACAATAGAGTTTTACAACTCACATTCAGGTAGATAACTTTATTAAGTATTGATTTTTACATCATAAATTCAATTTAATCATTCGTATACCAGCTTTAAATTTTTTACATCAGATCGCTTGGATAGGCAGAGATTTTACAATCACGAGTTCACTACTGAGGTGACTAGCTTTTGCTAGTATTCATATTTTACATAATTAAATTTTTACATAATTAAATCATTCGGGTGCGCTTTACACAAGGCTTCTGAATTTTTACAATGTTCGGGTAGATAGTATTTACGCTCTGCAATTCGCGTTTGGATGCATAGCTTCATCAAATATGGATTTTACAATTCACAAGCTTTTAAGCGATTCTTTTGAAATTAAGATATTTCTGAAAATTCGTGGAGTGAAAGCAGATTCTAAAATTAAAAAAGGTATGTACCTTTCATTCCGTTATCAAAATATCATTTGATCAGCTGTTCGATTTTTGACTTATAAAATTTTCATTGATCTATTTGGGTAGATAACTTTACTAGGTTTCAATTTTTCAAAGCAAAGATTGTTTGGATAGCTAAATCTCGGATTTTCTACTTTAGATAGCTTTGATGGGCTGCTCTACTAAACCTCGGATTTCTTTGCGATTGACGTTAAGTCTAAAATTTTCTCGATTTCAAGTTTATGCGATTGATGTTAAGTCTTCGATTTTCAAGTTTATGCTGATAACTTTATTAATCTTAGGCTTTTACGATTACATCTTTCAGCTATCAAGTTTAGGCGTTTTATAATTCATGTTATTCGTAGTATAGTATTATAATTTAGCTTTTCATAATTCACGTTGTTCAGGTAACGGTAATCAGATAGTATTCGGGAGATCATTTTTACAATTTACTGAGCTTTTGGGTCTCGGGTTTCACAATTTAGAGTCAAATTAATAGCTTTAGATCTATGGTTTCATAATTTGTAACACATATTTGTAAATTTTTAATTTCTTTTTTTATAATAAAGGGTTACATTAAAATACCATGAATGTTATTTTATTTTTTTTTATTAAAAATTTAATTATTACATCATTTATACATCCGTATTTGTATCATGGAAACTATACTACCCTTATAACAAATCCAACATCGTAAGATCACAATGACTACCCCTTCATAGAAATTTGATCAATGTTCACGAATCTAAAATTCAAATTACTTTATTCACAAAAAATTAATTCTAAAAAACATAACAACATCGCAATTCGTTTACATTGTTCAAAGCCTTTGTCCAAATCCAAAAGTGCCCATTTCGTGTTCTAACAAACCAATGACTTAAAAAAACAAACCAAATCAGTTTTATTTGAATCGCCCAAAAATAAAAGAACGTAGAACTAATATTCACATAGTACGATCGTTTTAGTACTCTCATATTCGATCCACCATCAAATGTTCACAGTTCGCATTACAACAAAGACCTACAGAATAGTAGTTCTTAGAAAAAAAAAAAAAAGCAAGCCCATAATAAAGGAATAAAAAAGCAATATAGCACTTATCATTTGATAATTTACCTTTTCGCCCAATTCTTAAATACATCATCAAGATTACAGTTCGAGTTACAACGAAATCTACAAAAGAGAAGAGTTAATTCCTCTTGAAAAAAAAACAAGAATGAAAGAATAATAGTCTAGTATTCACCGTTTTCGGTTTTTCATCCAGATTCGAATTTTGTAAAAGCTCCCAATCCGCGTTGCAGCAAAGAAAAGACAATTAAGAAAAAAAAAAATTCAGGACAAGAAAATGAAACTGGTACTTATCGTTTGCTCCAGTTCCAAACTTTCGGTTTATCATCCAGATCTCGCAAACCCAGTAATTCTTTGTATTGGTGCAGCAACATAACCAAGAGTTGTAAAGTTAGAGCGCCAAAATTTGGGACTTGGAGTTAAACTCTCGATTGGTGCGTGCTTGTAATCAAGAGTTGCTCCCACTTTGTAAAATTAAAAAGATACATAGCCGGCTCTTTTTCCAGAACCGGCAGACTTTAATAACAAAGTTGAAGCGCCTGAATTTGAGGACCGGGGATTACCAAGTTGTCAAACCCAGTAATTCTCTAGAAAAGGGCCCGCAGCTAACCGAGAGTTGTTTCCAAGTGACTTAGAGTTAAAGATGCATGCTTGTAATCAAGAGTTACTCCCACTTTATGAAATAAAGAAGCAAATTTGCAAAATTGCGTCACTTCTTTATTCAATGTAAAGATACATAGCCAGCTCTTCATTCCAGAACCAGCAGACTATAATAACAAAGTGTTGGAGCGCCCGAATTTGAGGATTGGAGACAATTGTCAAACCCAGTAATTCTCAAGAAAAGCGCCGCAACTTAACCAAGAGTCGTTCCCATGTTGTAAAGTTAGAGCGTCAGAATTAGACCTAGCAATCCTCTCGATCTGTGCAACTGGTAATCGCGTTGTTCCTACTTTGTAAAATAAGGAAATAAAAATAAAGCTAAATATAATAAAAAAATAAAAGAGATTAGTAAATTAGAAATTAAGGTAAAGATATAGGATTATTATTTAAATAGTCAAATGCTATTTATTACAACGCGATTGTTTTTTTTGGGACTGTAATACTGCAATAACAATGCCGATCTATTAATATAACGTTGACTACCCGGATCACATTCGTGGCTCCACAAAGCCGCGAGCCGATCGACTTAGCCGAGCTAATTTTCAGCTCAGCTAATTAACGGCCTAGCTAACCTAGATTATCAAGTTGATTCCAAATACGCTTAGAATTAACTTAAAGTTAATACTGAATCCATTTAGCGTATATTCATTTTAAAATTAAAGCCGTTGAATTCGCAATACATCTCAAAGCTATTTATGCATACATTCTAGTCACAATTTACAGCTATACTAATTATTAAGTGCTCATATTGCTCATTCGGCATACAACATATTTTATATATCGATCGTACCAAAATTAATAACAAACTAATTTTCTCAGGGTCCCAGAATTTACGATAATAGCTGTAATAATATTTACGTTTGGCCGGATCATATACTTATTATAGATTAACTCGTGGATAACCTACGGGTGACCCCTTAAGGTGACCCCACCCGCTTCCACCCGGGTTGCCAAAACTCAAGGGTCACCCGTTCACTCGCTGGTGACCCGAGTGGTATCCACCCGGGTCCAATCACTAAATGGTGCAAGAAAAAAATTTAAAGTTCATCAATGTTAGAGTTAGCGTTTAGAGCAAAGATAGAGGTTAAATAACTATGTAGCAATCACTCAAGAAAAGCTTTTTGTTAAAGCACCGAAGATGGTTTTTTATGCGGTACATAATTATTGATAATGCAAAATCGCGGGTAACCCTGATAATGGGCTAAAAAATTGGCTAACCAAATTCGGTTTATTTACCGGTTTTAACACGCAAAACACGTACATAAAAGTTCATATACAAGACCCGGGACATCACGAGAAAAAAAAATTTAATTAATTATGGTTTCACCCGAGTCTAATTGAGAACTTGTATATGAACTTTTACGGTATCCAAAAATCAATATTGACCCAAATTGGTAATTTCGTGCGTGTCGGCAAATAACGTTTAACTTTTTTGTCGCGGATGATGGTGAAATCGGATGATCATGAAATCTGGGGCCTTAATTTAAAAACATAAACCCTACAAAACCCACCTATACTCTTTTATTATAAACTCTAACCCTAAATCCTAGTTCAAATCTGAAAAAAAAAATATAAAAAAATATACACTAAAAATTTTTAAAAAACGTATATTAAATAAGGTTTGATTTCACGAACATTCGTGACATTTAATAATTAGCAATTAATTAATTATCGTATTTCTCCAGAACATAATTTCCTGTTCTTTCAAAGAATTAGAATTCAGAAAGTTCGCAAAAAATTTTTGAGTAGATTCTGATTAGGACAAACTAACTTAAAATGCAAAATTTAAAGCAAAAAGCAGAAATTCAAGTGACTCTCGATACTTATCTTCGACAACGAGCAAGTTTGTCGTACTATGGGTTTCTGCTCCACATCCGGGAAGAAATTATCGCTTCTCCCATTGTCGTAGATAAATGGCGTCGAGTTGACGACTATTGGTTCACAAATTTATTAAAGCTGTTGAACAAAATGTCGATTAAAAAAAACTTTCAATAACCTAAAAGAAAAGGTATGATAGTTTGATTAAATTTTTATTTTTCCCTTAATAATAACACATGATTGCACTATCCATAGATCCCCCGGCTCTCCAGGTCAAATTCTAATATTTCGACCGCCTCTCCCGCCAATAACCCTTCTTATAAGGCTTCTACAAGTTCCACCGATGAGCGCTATATCGAAGAAGGAATAAAGAAATCCAGAGCTTATACGAACCTTATTGAGGGTAATATTGAACCCTTGATATGACAAGTAAAGGAATTTTTGACTAAAAGGGCAGAGAGGTCTTTTGCTGAGTCCGATGGACCTGTTCTTCAAGTAATTTTTGAAGAGCGTTTTTTGCCAATACATTATGTTCCAGAACTATTTATGGTTATGGATG